AAAAAAAAAAAAAAAAAAAAAAAAAAAAAAAGAACGTTGAAGCAGTGGTTATAGCCTTAACTTTAATTAACAACCAACAAATTTAAACAACATGTAAATATTGTAAAATTATGCTCAATATAACCTGCCATCGTCGAATGCGAGATCCCTTTCTCCAAGATCGTCCATTATTACCCTAACCTTAAGATACAAAAAATAAAAAAATTGCCGAGCACAATGACAAAAAAATCGTCTCAAACTCGCTAGATCAGAGAATAACTTACCTGTACGTTGCTCGATGATGAGAATCCGAGTAAAAATCAGTTCGAAAATCTCTCGTTAAAGATAAATAGACGCCAATTTTCTACAGTGGAAGAAGAAGGTTTTTCGAAGTGAGAGGAGAGACCTAATTTAATTCTGTCATCAGTGGGTCCAAACAAAGGCCGTTTAACCCCATCTTGTGATAAAAAATGACGATAATGACCTCTATTATGAATATCTCACCATCCAATTGTGTTTTATTTACGAGTCTGCCACCGCGTCCCACATGTGTGAAGTGTGTGATTGAATTAATCCCGGCCATTGTTTGGACAGATCCAACGATCTATATTAATTCTTATTTCTTTCACCAACCCTTATTCTCATATGATCCCTTACCTATATATATATATATATATATATATATTATGTATTCATATGTTTTCTTGAAAAGTGGGTATGTTAATCTTAAATTTTTTTAGTTAAGATTTTTATTACTTTCTATTATTAAATTTTTAAATTTTAAAATACTTCATATTTTTTATTTGTTACCTTTTTATATGCAATATATCACATCATTTATTTTCAATGATGTTTGATTTGACCCATATATTGTAATAACATAAAAATAATATAATTATTTATATTGATATAAAATAATATATATATATATATAGCACTTTCAAACGGGCCGGTCCGGCCCGGCCCGCTCCGGCCCGCGCTGGCCCGCGTTCCAAACGGGGCGGGCCAAAATGACCCGCATTTCTACGGGCTGGAAAATACATAGCCCGTGGCCCGCCCGCATTAGCTCGCGGGCCAAATTGGCCCGCCCGCGGGTTTTGTTTATTTTTTTTAATTATGGTATTTGCACTCTTATATATTTTTTGGTTTGTTTATCCTTATATTTACTAGTATATTAATAAACTAGTAAGGTTTCATGTGTAATGATGTTAAATATTTGTCATCTAGTTTTTTTTTATTTTTTTTTATCAATAATTATAGGGTATTCACGCGCAGGAACGACTTAGTTGACATAAAATATTATTTGATTTATTAATATTTTTATTATGTAAAAAAAATGTTTCATGAAAGTTAAAAATTAGAAGTAAAATAAAAAATACTACATTTAAATAATTTTAAAAAAAAAACGGGCCAGCCCGCCCAGCCCGCGGGCCAAACGGGGCGGGCCAAATAGGCCCGCGATTGAACGGGCTGGCCAAGCAAAGGCCCAAGCCCGTCCGTTTAAGCGGGCGGGCGGGCGGGCGGGCCAACCCGCGGGCCACTGGCCCGTTTGACAGTGCTATATATATATATTAGTAGTAAGTTAAAATAATAAATTGGTGTTAAAGTATATAGTGTAATAAATTTTGTATTCAAGTTAAATCAATTTTATTAAGTATAAAATAACATAAGATAAACTTGTGGTATGTTTTCATACATAAATTTGAAACAATTCATATTAATAAAAAAAAGTAAAAAAACGGGTGTCAACTTCTAACTGTTCTCACGTTTTGGCTAGAGTGCCCAAATCCAATATATGTTTGACACGAGTTTGTCGTAATACTGAAACTATGTCAAATGCACCTTAGGGTACAAACGAAGCAAAGCTACATAAAGTCATAGATAAAAGGAAAGACTAGGTTAGCTATGTGAAGTCAATTAGTGCTGGAAAAGGAACCCTATAATGGTGGTACCATATATGTATTCAGTGATTATGAAAATGAGTTAGTTAATTAATATTTTATCAAACATTGGAAAAAATTCTAAACTTTTTAATCTATTAATTCGTATAAAAAGTACAGCTTTATCAAATATATTACATTAAATTTAATTTTATGTGATTATATTAATTGTAGCCTAATAAATAAGATAATTCGATAACATCATTATATAAAACACATACGAAAAATACCGTAATACGTATAAATGTGCTTTAATTACTTAGCAAATAAAATATTATTTGTCTATAGAATAAGAAACAAATAATATAATAGTAATGCAATGAGAAAAAGCAAACGTGCTAATTTTCTTAGAAAAGTATGAATACCAATATTTACAAACAAAAAGTCTTTTAAAATTACTACTTTTTTGTTGCTAGCGTTTAAATATATGGACTCTGTAAGAAATTGGTTCTCATAAATAATGATCATATATTATTTATTTTCAATTTTAAATAATTAAAAAATCCAAAAATTTGTATACATGATGTATATTTTAATCATGACTCCATAATAATAAACTTTACTGATGACTGAAAGTATCGTCCTATAATGGAATTCTAATTCTTCTGCTGTCAATATTTTAACAAATGATATGCTTCTCAATATTTTCTCATTGTTTTGTTTATTTTGTTTTATCATTGCAAAAAATAGATTATATTGTTCGTCTATATTCTAAATAAATAACACTGAAAATGAAATGTATGAGTATCAAAACAGTTTTGAATGTTAGAATGAAGTTGTCATTTCTTATAGAAATATTTATAATCTTATAGGTGTATTGCGCTTGAACATATGTGGAATTACTTTAGAAGTACTTTCAAGTAATGTATGGTAATTTCAAAAAATAATTTAGCACCTCGGGAGAAGTACATGTAACCCAGATTTTGGAAAGTCAACTTTTATTTGGAGATAAAATTCATTCCCACCTCACGGGGCGATGGGTCAATAGGGTAGACACCAATATATCTAGAGACAGAGGAGTGTAAAATTAATTAAGAGGAATTAGTAGTTTATACAGTGATAAAAAATATCAGCAATTTTAGTGACACCGTTAGTTATTTCATAGAGATATTTATCCTTTGTTAGTAGAAGTACCTTGTTATAAAGATCATGCGATCATGAAATTTGACTATATGTTGGGTAAAAATGTTTCTTAAGTGTTTGAATAAAATTGGCGTTTTGCCAAATTAATTAAGAGAAAATTTTGTAATATTATTGATGTATTGGACTCCAACGACTATGAATGTTCTTATGAGAACATCAAAACCAAAATGAAAGAAAATCTTTGTGTTTTTTTATTAGGGATTTGTTTTATATATATATTTTTGTTGGGGGTTGTAAAATGTTATTTCACTCTTTTTATATGAGGACATCATTACGTTAATTTTAAATAAAAAAAATCACATATGAGTTCATTTTTTCTATATTTTATTTCATTTTTACAATGATATGTTTAATAAATTAATTAATTAATTTATTTTACAAATTTATTCCGCGAATATCATTCGACACCACGTGCATCGAACGTGCACTTTACTTGTTTATACAATATAGTATGAGTTATATTGAAAAACTAAAAAGTTAGTGTGAAATAGAATATATTGTAAGAATATACTGATAAAAGCTTTCAATTTAATATTTCAAGATTATACTTGAGACTAAGTTTTCAGTGGGAGAATATAATATTGAATACAATAAGTTACTGTAATGGGAAATGACCTAATGTAATAAGTCACAAGCCACCACAAGCTAACATTTGTTTTGTTGGCGCATCTTTAAACATTCTTGGATCCACACCACACCGTCATTCACGTAAGCCACTTTCATAGGAAAAATTGCACCATTGATCTACTAACTTTTCCATAGTTGCACTTCCGTCCTTTAATTGTTTCCAGTTTATAGATGGTACACTAACTCTTTTTTTTTTTGGCAATTTTGGTCCAAAATCACATTCCGGTGACCATTTTGCTGATGTGGCACCCGGAGCAGCTGATGTGGCGTTTAGCCATCCCGAAAATCCTTGTCACCTCCTGATGTGTCACGAGCTGGGCCCAATCATTTTGACACCTTGTAAAAAAAATGTTAAAAAATTAGAAAAAAAAAACAAAAAAAAAACACGCAGATCTTTTACTTCATTAAACAAAATAAAAGAAAAAAAAAACGATTTGGGGGTAAAAATTGTAGGATCGTTGGCCGAGTACTTGTCCGCCCTCTTCGACACCAGCACGTGGAGCACGCAGATCCCGCCGGGCCTCAGCGTCCGCTCGATCTCCCCGATGAACCTCCTCGGGTACAGCGCGTGGTCGAACACGTTCGAGAATTCGAAGTCGAATGTCCCGTCGGCGAACGGCTGGCGGTGGAAATCACCCTTGAGGACGAGCGGCGGGTAGGGCACCAGGTCGATCCCCACCGAATCGGACACCCCGACCCGCTTCAGTGCAGCGACCTCCTGCCCGACCCGCGCCCCGATGCAGAGCGATTTTGAGGCGTTGGCGAGGAGGGAGCGGCGTTTGAGGCTGTCGAAGAAAGCGGAGAAGACGGCGACCTTGCGGTCCCAGTCGCGGGTGGTCCACATCCGGCGGAGCTTCGGGTCGAGCGTCTTGTTGAGCTGGCGTTGGATGTAGGCGTGGTAGGAGCTACCCCAAATCGTTTTTCTTTTTTTTTTTTCTTTTATTTTGTTTGATGAAATAACATGTGGATTTTATGTTTTTTTTTTTGTTTTTTTTTTCTAATTTTTTAATATTTTTTTGCAAGGTGTCAAAATGACTGGGCCCAGCTCGTGACACATCAGGAGGTGACAAGAATTTCCGGGATGACTAAGCGCCACATCAGCTGCTCCGGGCGCCACATCAGCAAAATAGTCACCAGAATGTGATTTTGGACCAAAATTACCAAAAAAAAAAAGAGTTAATGTACCATTTATAAACCGGAAACAATTAAAGGACGAAAGTGCAACTAGGGGAAAGTTAGTGGACCAATGGTGCAATTTTTCCCACTTTCATAAAATAAAAATAAATAAACAAACAAATAAATAAATAAATAAAAATAAGTAAATAAATTATAAATAAATATATAAAAAATGGACAAAATAACTAACTACTGATCATTTTCAATTAAGTAGGATAAAAAATTCTCACGCCCATGATGTAGTAGTTGATTTTTGTGTCTCAGTCACATGCTATAATTTTGCACTATCTACCTATCTATATATGAACCAAATGCACATATATATCTTCATATACTTCAAGTGATGAAAATTAAGTGAAGTTCTAAAATATATATCTTATAGAAGAATGACTTATTTTTTTTTAGATTGTGAATAAATATAATTATATGTAGTGGGATACAAAATCGTTTAATAATGATCAGTATAGATGATTTATGATTGAAATATGTAACTGAATGAATAGTATTTTGAAAAAAAAATATATATATTCAATTATAGTTCCAAGTATAACATGTCCTCAAGACGACAATTGAAATAATTATAAGTATATATGAAATTACATCCTAGGCCTCATTTGGGATTGGACTATAAATTTAGTGTTGTAAACTGATGTAGGGAAAGCGTGAACAAAAGGGAAAATACGAGTAAACGAGATACTCTCTCGAACTTGGGATACTCTCCCAAAAAACACGAACAATTTTAATTCATTCTCAAATTCAACTGAATAAAACAATAGATGTGGGAGCCCTTTAAATAAGACTCATAAACATTATTCTTAACTTGTCCAACAAGACAAGATCTCTAATATTTAATTCATAACTTATTCTCCAAGATGATAATAATAATAATAATAATAATAATAATAATAATAATAATAATAATAATAATAATAATAATAATAATAATAATAATAATAATAATAATACTCTTCTACACCATTCTCCCCCGGTTCGGAAGGCTTCGACCTCGAAGCCGATGCGCTCCCGTGGCCGGCGTGTGGTGTCGAACTCATGGTAGCAAATCTCGTCATTTTCCTCGGTCGAACACGAAGGTTGAACATCGCTCAACTTCACATAACAAATGGAGGATCAGATCTTTAGCCTCATAAGACATTTTTTGTTCTTCGAACTTCAAACATGGTCTCCAATTTATTATCTTGCGACATGCCAATAAACGATGATTGTGTTTCCACTGTTGTAGCGCAGTTTCTGCGCCCAAATGCCCGTGGTGCTCATTTTTAGAGTATGGAGCAATAAAATCAGCAACTTCTAGTAACATATATTTCTCCAGTGGCTTACACAAGCCAAAATCAGAAAGCGTCACCTCGGGCCCCAAAGGCTCTTCATCGAAAATAGGCAGACCGTCGTAGATACCGTCCACCTCGCCGGTAAGACACTCCTCGACCTCTTCGGGCCCTTCATCAAACACAGGAGGACCATCGTACAATGGCCCGTCAACATTCTCTTCGTAGTTTGAGCCCGTGTGCTGTTTCGTCCCTCCTTGTTCCCAAAAAGGATGGGTCGTGGAGGATGTGCGTGGATAGCCGTGCCATCAACCGGATCATGGTGCGCTATCGTTTCCCTATTCCACGTCTGGACGACTTGTTGGATCAGCTCCACGGTGCCACGATTTTTACCAAGCTCGACCTCCGTAGCGGGTACCACCAGATTCGGGTCCGTCCGGGGGACGAGTGGAAGACCACGTTTAAAATGCGGGAGGGGCTCTTCGAGTGGCTTGTTATGCCTTTCGGCCTTTCTAATTCGCCCAGTACCTTCATGCGTGTTATGAATCAGGCCCTTCGGGATTTGATAGGTAAGTGTGTTGTAGTTTATTTCGATGACATACTTATCTATAGTCGTTCTTCTGCAGACCACGTACAGGATCTACGCTCGGTATTGCTTGTTCTTCGGGGCGAGTCTTTCTTTGCGGCGCCTCGTAAGTGCCTATTTATGGTGCCTTCCGTGTTGTTCTTGGGTTTTGTTCTTTCGGCCGAGGGAATTCGTGTGGATGATTCGAAGGTCGCTGCCATTCGTGATTGGCCGAGTCCTTCGTCATTCACGGAGGCGAGGAGTTTTCACGGTCTTGCTTCCTTTTATCGCCGCTTTATCGCCCATTTCAGTTCCATTGCTGCACCGATCACTGACTGCATGATAGGCAAGTCCTTTGTTTGGACCCCGGCGGCCGAGGCAGCATTCGTTCTGCTCAAGTCCAAGTTATCCTCCTCCCCGGTCCTCGTGCTTCCCGATTTTTCCCGTGCCTTCGAGTTATCCTGCGATGCGTCCAAGGTGGGCATTGGTGCTGTCCTTAGCCAGGGGGTCGGCCCGTGTCCTTTTTCAGCGAGAAGCTTTCGGGTCCTCGTTCACGGTACAGTGCGTATGATGTTGAGTTTTACGCTGTTGTTCAGGCGGTTCGCCACTGGCGACACTATCTCTTCCACCGGGAATTTGTCCTCTTTACTGATCATGAGGCCTTGCGACATTTATCTACCCAGGACAATATCTCTGCTCGTCATGCGGCTTGGACGGCCTTTCTTCAGCAATTCACCTTTGTGCTGAAACATCGTTCTGGTTCTTCGAACAAAGTGGCCGATGCACTTAGCCGTCGTTCCCTTTTATTGACCGATTTGCGCGTCTCTGTCGTCGGTTTTGACGTGTTGCGTGAGGCTTATGCGGGTGACGTCTTCTTTGGGCCGATTTTCTTGCGACTGGCCGACGGTGTTTTTGAGGATTACGTGATCACCGATGGCTTTTTGTTTCGTGGGACCCGACTTTGCGCCCCGGATTGCAGCTTGCGCCTCAAGCTAGTCGCCGATCTGCATGGCGTCGGTCACGTGGGCAGAGACCGCACTATTGACTTGGTGAGCCGCTCTTACTTTTGGCCGAGTCTTCGGCGCGATATTGCTCGTTTTGTTAGTCGTTGTCAGATTTGCCAGGTGTCCAAGGGCGTGGCGACTAATGCGGGACTTTACCGTCCATTGCCGATCCCGTCCCAGCCATGGGTGGCTATTAGCATGGACTTTGTCTTGGGTCTTCCCCGCACCCAGAGGGGCTTTGATTCAATTTTTGTGGTGGTTGACCGGTTCTCGAAGATGGTGCACTTCAATCCATGTAAGCGAACGACGGACGCGGTACATGTGGCCCAGCTCTTTTTCCGAGAAATTTATCGTTTACATGGGCTCCCGTCTTCTATTGTCTCGGATCGTGATACCCGTTTCCTGAGCCATTTTTGGCGTAGCCTGTGGCGCATGGCTAATACTCGTTTAAATTTTAGCAGCGCTTACCACCCTCAGACTGATGGCCATACCGAGGTTGTCAATCGTTCATTGGGTAACTTGCTTCGGTGCTTAGTGGGCGACAACCTCCGGACTTGGGATCAGCGGCTTCCACAGGCCGAGTTCGCCCACAATTCGGCGCTTAGTCGGTCCTCGGGTTTCTCGCCCTTTCAGGTGGTCTATGGTTTGCTTCCGCGCGGCCCGGCCGACTTGTTGTCTATTTCTTCCGGGCCCACCGCGGAGAGGCGTGCTGCTGACGTCATTTCCGACTTGCAGGCGGGCCATGCGGCCGCACGTGCGCGATTGGAGGAGTCCACTGCTGTTTACAAACGGCGGGTTGATGCCCGACGGCGGGAGGTGGAGTTCGAGGTTGGCGACTTTGTGTGGGCCGTTTTAACGAAGGACCGGTTTCCTGCTCACGAGTACAACAAGCTGTCCGCCCGGAAGATTGGCCCTGTGGAGATTTTTGAGAAGATTAACCCCAACGCCTACCGTCTTCGTCTCCCCAGTCACATTCGGATGTCCGACGTATTTAATGTGAAGCACCTCATCCCTTATACCGGTGATAATGATGATTCCGATGAAGCTCCCTCGGATTCGAGGGCGAATCCTTCTCAACCGGGGGGGAATGATGCAGATGAAGCCGCATTCGCTTATATGGAAAAATACGAGAGGTTTCATATTTAGTTATCTATTTATTATTTATTTCCTAGTTTATATTATCTTTATTGCATGTTATTTAGGATTATTATTTGTCTTGCCTAACAAGATAAATAATAGGAATAATAATTAGGAGTCTTGGGGTTTCCCTATATATTGTACTCCTATCAAAACTTTTTACGCAGTTTTTATTGAAATAAAGATTTATATTCTTCTGGTTTCTTGAGTTCTTCAAGAACAATTCTCCCTTTTGTCTACCACGTGCTGCATCACAAACGAAACAAACCGACCAGAGCTTCGACTCTTCGAGCTCGTGTCGTGTTTGTTCATTTATTTTTCGAGCAAAAATCGTGTTCGAGCCCGTCCGTTTATATGTTCGTGTTCGTTCGTGTTCGAATAATTTAATATATAAATGATTTTGCAAATTGCATTTGGTCATGATAACCATTTTGCATCCGAAATGACTAACTAGTATTTAAATTTGACTGAAATATTATTATCACTAGATTATAATTAACACTAACAAAATATCTCACATTATATGAACAAACAACTGCATTATTTGATCATTAATTAAAGCAGCAGTGAAAAAAGTCAAAAACACACAACAAGATTAATTGTTCTTGAACCAATGCATCAAATAATTTGGGTACAAATAATTTGGAGACAAATAATCCGAAGACATACAAATTACAATCAATCGCTTTTCTTCTTATTATTATTATTTTCAACTTATAATTAAAAAAAAAAATGCAAAAATTACTATGTCGGCCAATTCTCTTTGGGCTCCGGTACGTGGGCTCAGTCTGGGCTCAACCATCGACATTCCACAATAATTGTCTCCCTTACTCCCTCGTAGTATATACTTTTCGGGGCGGGCCTGCTTTCAATAAAATAGTAAGCACGCCGCGGCCTATCAACAGTTAAAGCCCATTTATGGAAGGCCCATGTCCATCCTAAAACTGGACCCTGGTCGCGTAGGTCCGTCCAAAAGCCCAATTGGAAGGGACTGCATTCATGAAAGTCTTGGTGATGCCATCAGAGGTAGTGATGATGAAAGACAGCGATTGGCCGTTGAGATAGGCATTAGACTGCCAATTAACACCCCAATTTCTAGACATAGACATCCAACCCGTTTTCGACCCCTTTATCCGGACCGATCGGACCGACCCGGCATTCGCGACATTGGTAATCAAGACGAGCTCGAAGTTATCCCGACCATTGATGGTGAATCTAACCCCACCACGCTTCACACAAGGAACCCTACATCGAAAAAAAAAAAACAAAAATATTTTATTTCAATATGGATATGGTCTTATAGCTTATCGTCCGAAAATTGAAAACGATTTAGTTAACAATGTATCAGTTCCTGTTGAAATATCACTTATGAGTTGTCTCACATTGATTTTATTGAGTAAACAAGTCTAGTTTATAAGCCTAATGGGCTACTCTTCTCATCACCAATTGGTATTGGGATGACACCTTTCTAAGGTGCAGACTCACCCTTTTATGGTGTGCTTCATCTGGTAGATCGCACTCTCTTCTCCCGGTTCTAGTAGTTACACTACCTAATTTATATATTAAATTGGAATGTATAAGAGTGAAAACAAAAATGATACCTCTTGTAGAGGACTGGCACTATTCCGCCCCTATAGATGGCGATTTTTTCCCAAGCCGGCTGAGCCATGTCGAAATGTTGTCGGGGAGGATTGCACCAACCTCCGTTGTTGCTCGGGAGATCGTAATTTGGCGGGCAGAAATTTGTAGCCGTGACGGTGACGGACACGCCTCTCTTGCACCACTGAGGGTCGGCCCTGTAGTCGCATATCATCTTATAGCACTGCCCGCAAGCTGCCCCATCGTTAAATAACGCCGTGCTCAATGCTGCAGTCCGGGTCCCGTACCCACCCGAGTACAAGTTTCCATACCCACAAGCACCCCCTAATAAAGAAAAAAATGAAAAATAAGATGAAAATACTAAGTAGTAATATTAATAAATAGCCTTATTACTTTGTAAAATATAAAATATAGTCACTTTTCGTGAAAGCCCATATATGGTTTCTATCATCAGCTTATGTGTTCTATAAGTTATTTCTAGATTCTAGAATATTCCTAAAAACAGTTCGTGATAGTAAGGGTAATTGTATCATTATACAGAACAAAATGACTATTATCCGTACTTTCACAAAAATTTGTTATATCTCATCTTTGCATTTGATATTTGGCTATAAAACCAAGGTATTGATCGATCGAAAACTCAATCTCTCTATCGAACTAATCTCGTTTATTTCGAATACTAAAATTTCGTGTGCGTACCCATTGTTCCGGAAGCATCACTCCCGCCGTAGAAGGTTGCATGAGCTTGGGTCCATCTAGAAGCCGTGAAGCCATTGGCATTCATTGTGAAGCTATGCAGCGCAACTACAAGTGCTAGAAACAAAATGCTGCTATTTTTCTCCATTCTCTCTTTTTTTTTTTTTTTTT